TGCAACACTATTCACAAGAGTTAAATGGTGGAAACAGCCTAAATGTCCACCAACAGATGAACGGATAAACAAAATATATACCACTGGAATATTACTCTGCCATAAAGAAAAATGAAGTCCTGATAGCTGCTAGGACATGGATGGACTTTGAGAACATTATGTGAAATAAATCAGACACAAAAGGACAAATATATAATCCCACTGATATGAAACATGGAGAAAAGGTAATTGCATAGAGACCAAATTTCAGTAGGTTACCAGGCATGGGCAGGAGGGAGAGATAAAGAGGGGATACTCACTGCTCAGGGGAGACTGAGCTTCTGGGGTGATGGAAAAATCTGGGAAAAGTTATGCGTGATTATTGAAGGACATGATGAACTTAACTATTGCCATTGAATTATACATGTGAAGACTGTTGAAATTGCAACTATTTTGTTAAATATATATTAACCAAAACCTTTTTAATAGTTAAAGTAAAAAAAAAGAAGGTAAACGAAAAAGACATGGAAGTTTTATAGGAAACTATTAGATATAACTATCTTGTTAAGTGGCATTGAGTTGGTTCTAACTCAGAGTTTTGGATGTTTTCCAATCTTTGTGGGAACAGAAAACCTTATCTTTCTCCTGCAAATATAGAGGTTGTATTAAAATTATTGTCAAATAATCAACTGTGAATATTTAGTACTAAAGGGAATCAAGATGGGTCCTCCTGCTACGCCCAAAGTTTTAGAAATTGAATATCTATTTTTAGAAAAATGAAATTCTTCCATTTTGCCCAATTTCAATGTTTCCATATATATACATATCACAGAATAGTGTATCAGCTTAAAAAAAAGGTACTTTATTAGATATTCAAGATTTAAGACCAATATTCTATTAATTTTATTTTGCTTACGTGATCTTGCTTAGTTATTTTGAGTTAGCTTATTATATATTTGACTTCTATATTTGACAAAAATTCCTCACCATACTGCTTTAAAACACAAAAGTTTGAATATGGCAAACTTTCTACCAACATTAACTGTCCAACATGCAGTCTACCCATTACAAAAATGACTATTTATTTAAAAGCTGAGCTTCAAAGTCATTTGAACTGCAAGGCTGGCAGTTCTAGCTCACTAGCCACTCATTGGAAACCTTATATAGGGTTGCTATGGGTCAAAACCAACTCAGCAGTACTTAACAACATCAGCATTTTGGGGAGTCCTGGTGTAGTGCTGTGGATTAATGCACTGGACTGCACAGTCAGTGTGAACAGTAAATTAGGCAGTTCAAGCTCACCATTCACTCTTTGGAAACCCTATACAGGGTTGCTATGGGTCGGAACCAACTCAACAGCACTTAACAACAACAAATCAGTATTTTGGACTCTGGGTGTGATGGTGTAGGAAAAGTACAGGACTGTAAATCACAAAATTAGCAGTTCAAGCTCATAAGCTGTTCCTAGGAAACCCTATACAGGGTCACTATGACTCATTATTTTGGACTTCTGTTGTGACACTGTAGGATAAGCTTCGGACACCTAATGACAAGGTTGGTAGTTCCATTCCTTGGAACTGACTCAATGGCACTTAACCACCACCACCACATCAGTATTTTAGGGACAATTGTGATTGGCTGGTAGAATACTCATCTTCCCTACAGGAAACCTGGGTTTGATTCCAAGCCAGAGGACCTCAAGCATAGCTACCCTCTATCTGTCAGTGGAGGAACTTCCAGACTAAGATGGACTAGGAAGAAAGGCCTAATGACTGACTTCTGAAAATCAGCCAATGAAAATCCCGTGGGTTATATCCATGAGCTCACTGCGATAGTTAAACTTTTGTGTCAACTTGATTGGACCAGAATTCTCAGTACTTTGTCACTTAAGATGCAGTAATCCTCCATGATGAGATCTGCTATGCGCAGCCAATCAATTGAAAGGAAGAATCCTCAGGGGTGTGGCCTGCTTCCAATATACTGAACACTCGGGAAAAGCTTGCTTGCTTTTCTGCTTTTTCTGGATTCTGCACCTGGCTCATCATCTAACTTCCAGTTCTTTGGACTTGAGCCAGTGGCCTGCCAAATTGCCTGCCGATCCTGGGAGGCATCAACAGCCTGTTATCTTACTTGCCTCACCTGCCTGCCTGCTGTCTGACCTGCCAATCTTGGTTCATAAGTCCTGCGTCTCTGTGAGTCAGGAGCCTGCAGCTTGACATCTTACCTATGAACTTAGGACTTGCTCACCTCTACAACTGTGTGAGTCATTTTCTTGATATAAACCTCATTTTAAATATACGTACATAAGTTTCACTGGTTCTGTTTATCTGGACAACTCAGTATAAGACAGTCATCATGAGTCAGAGCCAACTCATTGGGAGCTAACAAAAGCATACTTATCTTATGCTGGCATAAAATGGTCATGATAAATCAACTAGAACACTTTCATTCTGCTGCTCTCTTTTACCATATATGAAAACTATATACTTCTATGATTTTTGGGGGTAGATTTCTGGTGTGGTGCTGTGGATCAGCTGTGACAATGAACCACAAGACTGGCAGTTCAAACTCACCAGCTGCTTCTCGGAAAGCCTATACTGGGCTGTTATGAGTGGGAACTGACTTGATGACTCAGTTCTTTTTTACATTACTTCAGCGTGGCTTTGACAAGTAGAATTGTGTTGTCTGGCTCTTTAGAGGTCAATATTACAATCTCTCTCCCTAGATCCAAAAACTTCTAATAACTTTGTGGAGAAAAGATAGGCCTTTGGTCAAATATTTACTAAGGTAAAAGTCATGAGTCTACAAGAAAAGTTTCCAGACCATTTTAATTGTTAGAAAGTCTTTCTGTTGAGAGCACATCTCCTTTTTATAATTCTTACGTGTTGGTTTTGGCATATCTACTTTGTCTTATACGGTTGCTGTACACCAAAATCAACTAAATGGCAGAAGGGTTGTTTGTCTTTTGAAATATTGGTCCTTGAGTGGCACAGATGGTTTTCAGTTAACCTAAAGGTTGGTAATTTGAACCCACTCAGCAGCACTTCAGTAGAAAAATCTAGCAAGCTGCATCCATCAAGAGAACTTGATGGAGAAGTTATCCTCTACAATACATGGTGTCAGCAAGAGCCAGAACCAACTGCATAATGTTTGCTTTGGGTCAGCAAGAATCTATTTCTCTCTCACACATACACATTAGCTTCCCAGTATTTTTGGTTTTAGATCTCTTTTCCATATTTTAATCATTTGACTAGCACCTGGCCACTGTGGAATGAATTGCTAAATTTAAGTTCCTGAAACGAAGAGCATGAGGCATAGGTTCTATATATATTGTTTCATTTTATGGTTCCTCCAGGGTCAATACTAAAGAAAGCCAAACTGTAGTGACGCCTCTCACTGCCTTTGCAGATGCTAGTCCTTCTGCCAAACTTGTTTCCCCAGGCTTGTCTCCTAAAAATTCGTCCTCCCCCTTTAAAATCTATTTATTAAATGCTAACAGTTCATTTGTTTTCTTTGAAAACTATAGTCTCCAGGTAGATTTAAGAAAACTAGTTTTCCATAAGGACTTATTTTATTCGTGAAGTACTTACGAAAATAATGACTGTTGAACTGAGTTCATTATAAGGATCAAAAACCAAACTCACTGCGATTGAGTTGATTCCATCTCATAGTAATCCTATGTTGTTGTTGTTATGTGCAGTTGAGTCAGTTCTGACTCATAGCAACACTGTATAGGATTTCAAAGAGTAGCTGGTGAGTTTAAACTCCTGACCTTGCAATTAGCAGTCCAGTGCCTATCCTACAGTACCACACCAGGACCCCTAGGATTAGTAAAGTCCCTAGTTGTACTCTTAAAATTGCTTCATAGGGTTTTTGAGATCATTAATCTTTATAGGAGAAGACAGCCTCATCTTTCTCCTGAAAAGCAACTAAGTGGGTTTGAACTGCTGACCTTGGGTCTGAATAGCTTAAACCACTGAGACCCCAGACTCTTCAAAAGGTTCATGGAAATATTCTACCATATTTCAATTGCATTTTCCCACAAACTTTTGGAAGCCCTCTCACAAGTTTACATCATATACTTTCCCTTCCTTAGAACTTGCCTGCCCATCTTTAGTACAACCAAGAACTTACAGAATTACAACATGTCTCATATAATCATGAGGAAACTGCAGCCTCGAGAAGCCAAAGAACTTCCAAAAATCACACAGCCTAAGTAGGAGAGGTGAACTAGGAATCTTCCTAGTAACCTATGATGCTTTAAAAAATAATATTTTTAAGCATGTCTATATAAGCAAGTCCTGGTGTGGCACTGTGGGTTAATGTGCCAGACTGTAAGTCATTTGAATCGTAAGATCAGCGGTTCAAGCTCACCACCTGCTCCTTGGAAACCCTATATGAGTTCGTTATGGGTCAGAACCAACTCAATGGCACTTCACAACAACAATAGGATATTTGGACTTCTGGAGTGGTGCTACAGGATAAGTGCAGGACTGCAAGGTCAGTTCAAACCACAAGGTCGGTAGTTCAAATTTACCTGTCTTTGGAAACCCAATACTGAGTTGCTATGAGATGGAACTAACTTGACGACACTTAACAACACAGGTTGTTTAGGGAGTGCCAAGGCTCCGTATGATTAGCACTGAACTGCGAATCATAAAGTCTGTGATTTGAGCCCATCAGCTGGGAGAAAGATAATGCTTTCTGCTCCTGAGATTTAAAGCCTGAGAAACTCTACACAGGATCACCATGAGTGAAACGACGGCACTTAACAACAACAATACATTGTTTAACTTTATAAAGTTTTTCTTTATATAGAAGGAAATATATTGCTGAAAAAGTGGCCACTAGTTTTCAGAAAGACCAAACAAGATCATTCATAAGTTTAGTGTTAGAAATATTATCACATATTTAACAATGTGGTTTCCTTGTCTCAGTATAAGATAAATCAATAAAACACAAGTACATACTCATTAGACAAACTGGCTTTCAGTAATAAAATGATGAGGTATTATACTGACCATAGTCTGTATTTTCCGGCTCCCAACAATTTGATGGCCAAAAATAGGGTGTCTGTGGAACCAAGGAGTGAGACTCAGGTTAGACACATAAAGAACTCAGAACATTTCTCAATTATTCTCTGTTTTTATCCTCGACAATTAACCAGTACAGTTGCTAATAGCTTATGTTTTAACCCCAGAGCAAGTCGATTCTGACTCATAGCGACCCTGTATAGGATTTCCAAGGAGCAACTGGTGAGCTTGAACTACTGACCTTGCAGTTCAAATGGCTTTGCAGTCTAGCGCATTAACCCACAGCGCCACACCAGGACTCCTGAGATTAGGAAGTCAATTATCTAGCTCTGTTGATTATACAAAGAAGGTTTCAACATTATCCAGCTAGATGAAAACAACTTGTTTTTTTCACTTTTAAAAAATATTAATTTATAAAGACACATACTACTCTAAAATTTTAAGCTGCACAAACCAGAGTTCATTTTTAAAAATCCAATAAAGTCTTAGTTGATTGATTTTATTAACAAAGGGCAGAATTCAGATTCTGTAAAATCCTACAAAGTGATTAACTTAAGCTACAAAGAAAATACCTGACTAGGAAAAATCCTATTAATATCATAAGCAATTGATTTTTCATTTTTTAAGCACATTTATAGTCCTATTAGATGGATTGCAGGTTGTTAGACTGTTGGCACACTGTAATGGTTTATGTGTTCCTGTGATCCTGGAAGCATTGGGATTTTAAATACCAGAAGGGTCACCCCTGGTGGGCAGGTTTGAGTGGAGTTTACAGACTAAGGCAGACTAGGAAGAAACAGAGGCAGGTCTCTGCTGAATGGTTAGGCACGGAAAACCTTTTCAATAGAAGCAGCACATTGTCAGATATAGTGCCAGAAGATAAACCTGTCAGGTTGGAAGGCACTCAGATTATGACTGGGGAAGAGTTGTTTACTCAAAGGAGAGTTGACCTTAATGACATGAATGGAGCAAAGTTTTCAAGACCTTCATTAGCTGATAGGGCACAAATCAAAATGGGAAGAAATACCTGCAAATATCCATTAATAAACATAACATGAATGGCACAAAGTATGGAACTAGGAAAGTTGACAGTCATCAAAAATGAAATGGAACACATAAAGATCACTATACTAAACACTAGTGGGCTGAATTGGACTGGTATTGGCCAGCCGGGAATGACAAATGGCAAAACATTCGTCGTCAAAAGAGTATTTCAAGATCTATATGAAGTACAATGCAGAAGGATTGTGACACGATATCAAGAACATCGTACGTGAAGAAAGCAAAAGGTCATTAAAAAGATAGAAAAGAAAGAAAAGACCAAAATTAATGTCAGAAGACACTCTGAAACTTGGCAAGTGTAGAGAAGCTAAAGTGAATGGAAAACATGAAGAAGTAAAAGAAATGAACAGAAAATTTCAAAGGGCACCTTGAGAAGTCAAGTATTGTAATGGATTGTACAAAGACCTGGAGTTAGAAAAACAAAAGGGAAGAATATGTTCAGCATTTTCAAGCTGAAAGAACTGAAAAAAACAAACAAACAAACCAAAAATTCAATCTTCGGTTTGCAATATTGAAGGATTCTCTTGGTGAGATGCTGCTGTAGGATCAGCATGAGACTTCACACCAAAGGTTGACAATTCAAACCCACCAGCTTCTCCTCAGAAACCCTGCACAGGGTTGCTATGAGTCACAATCAACTCGACAGTACTTAACAACAACATGGGCAAAATATTGAATGATGCAGGAGGCATCAAAAGAAATGGAAGAAATACAAAGAGTAACTGTACCAAAAAGAAAAGGGGTAGCACATGGTCAAGAACCAATGGTACTGAAGGAGGAAGTCCAAGCTGCACTGAAGGCACCAGTAAAAAACAAGACTCCAGGAATTGACAGGATACAAACTAAAATGTTTCAACAAACATATGAAGCACTAAAAGCACATATTCATCTATACCAAGGAATTTGGAAGATAGTTAGCTGGTCAACCCACTGGAAGAGATCCTTTATTTGTTGATGACCCAACAGAAAGCAGAAGTCATAGAAAAATATCATTGAGTTAACTTGCAAATGAAATTTTGATGAAAATGAAAATAATTCAAAAATGGTCACAGCAGTACATGGTCAAGGAGCTGCCAGATTTTCAAACCAGATGTAGAAGAGGACATAGAATTATGGGTATCATTGCTGACATCAGATGGATCTTGGCTAAAAGCAGAGAATACCTGAAAGATGTTTACTTGAACTTTACTGACTATGCAAAGGCATTCACAACCATGTGGATCATAAAAAAACTATGGATTACGTTGTGAAGAATGGGTATTCCAGAACACTTAATTGTACTCATGAGATGCCTGCACACAGACCAAGAGGCAGTTTTTAAAACATGACAAGGGGATACTGAATGGTTTAAAATCAGGCAAGGTGTGTGCCAGAATTGTATTCTTTCACCATACTTTTCAGTCTGTATGTTGAGCAAATAATCTGAGAAATTGGATTATATGAAGAACATGACATCAGAAATGAAGTCAATGCGGATGACACAATCTTGCTTGCTGGAGTTGAAAGGCACATAAAATACTTAATGATGAAGATCGAAGACTACAGCCTGTGGTATGGGTTGCACCTCAATGCAAAGAAAACAAAAACTCTCACAACGGCACCAATACATTGCATCATGATAAATGGAGAAAACACTGAAGTAGTCCAAGATTTTGCTTGGATCCACCCACCAACATTCATAGACGCAGCAGTCAGGAAATCAGACATATTGCATTAGGCAAGCCTGCTGCAAAAGATCTCCTTAAAATGTTAAAGAGCAAAGATGTCAGTTTTAGGACCAAGATGCACTTGACTCAAGCCATGGTATTTGCAGTCATCTGAAAGTTGGCCAATGAATAAGGAAGACAGTATAAGAATCAATGCATTTCAATTATGGTATTAGTGAATAATACTAAAAGTACTACGACAAGAACAAACAAAGCTGTCTTGGAAAAAAATACAACCCAGATGCTCCGTAAGAGCAAAGATGGCAAGACTTTGTCTAGAATGCTTTGGACATGGTGTCAGGAGGGATGAGTCTCTAGAGAAGGGCATCATGCGTGGTGAAGTGGAAAGAGTCAGTGAAAAAGAGAAAAATCCCAAGATGGATTGATGCTGTGCTAACAACAGTTTCAAATAACACAACTGTAAGGATGGCACAGGACAGGCAGGGTTTTGCTCTGTTGTGCATAAGCTTGCTCTGAGTGACAACTGACTCCAAGGTACCTAACAACAATAGGGGGACATGCCTGGCTCTGGACCATGAACAAACTCTGAACATCTGTCAACTGCATCCTGTCTTATTCCCTAGAATGGAGATGACAAAAGAATTCAATGAAGCAGCGACTGCAGATCACTAGTGTTGTGGGATTAATTACATTTATAAGTCAATCACATTACCTGTGTGCAACATGTATATCTGCGGTAATACTGGTCACATATAAGAAACATATTTGCTAATCACCAATAAAGCTTGTCAGTGAAAATATGATCATGCTAATGCATTCATATGCAACAATAAGGAGCTCTGGTAGCGTAGTGGTTATGAATCAGGCTGCGAACTGCAAGGTCAGCAGTTCGAAACTACCAGCTGTTCCGCAGGAGAAAGATGAGGCTTTCTGCTCCGGTAAAGATTTACAGCCTCTGAAACCCTGTTCAGGGTCGCTATGGGTTGGAACCGACTCTACAGCAGTTAACAACAACAACAACAACAACAACAACATACACACACACACACACACACACATATATATATATGGATCCTTGGTAGCATAGTGATTACAAGTCGGGCTGCTAACCTCAAAGTCAGTAGTTTGAAACTACCAGCTGTTCCGTGGAAGACAGATGAGGCTTTCTGCTCCTGTACAGGTTTACAGCCTCGAAAATCCTGTACAGGGTCTCTATGAGTTAGAACCGACTCCATGCACACCATGATATATAATCAAAGAGTTGCCATAAAGTTGACTCCTCCTCATGGTGACTCCATGTGTGTTAGAATAGAAGTGTACTCCATAAGTTTTCATTGGCTTATTGTTGAGTAGATCACCAGGTCTTTCTGACAAGGTACTTCTGGGTGGATTCAAATTGCCAACCTTTAGTGTAGTAACTGAGTACATTAACCATTTTCACCACCATGGGCTCCCTGTTTAGATATGTCGCTGTTCACCCTCTAATGAATTCTGACTCATAGTGACATTGTATAGGATTTTCAAGAGCAGCTGGTGGGTTTGAACTGTTGACCTTGTGATTAGCAGTCCAGCGCTGATCCTATAGAGTCACATCAGGGATCTATTTAAATATAAAAACCCCAAAGACACACCACCACTGAATCAACAATAATAATAATAAACCATTGCCGTTGAATCAAGTTTGCCTCATAGCAACTCTATTAGCGTAAAACTGCTCCATGAGGTTTACAATCTTCATGGAAGCAGACTGCCTCATCTTTCTCCTGAAGAGTAACCGGTGGCTTTAAACTGCCAACTTTTTGGTTGGCACTCAATGCCTAACCCATGGAGCCCCCATTTAAATATAGAGCATTTAGTAGTACGCAAAACAGGTAAGAAGCATGCTTCAGTGTCTGAAAATGGGGGAAATCCTTTGGGAAATACCTGTAGCAAATCATTAAGAGTTTGAATTCTGGCCTATGTGCTTTAATTTTATAAGTGTTAACCTATGGATAAGTTATTCACGAGTCGTAAAGTCAAATGAAATGTAAAAAGCGTTTCAGGTAAATCTTTGTGAAGTCAAGTTTCAAATACACGCACAATGACTGAAATTAGAGTGCATGATCATTTATTGATAGAACAATTGTATCAGTCTCATTTGAAAATGGTGTGGAATAACTTTTAATGATTTGCAAGCCTTCTAACTTGTCTTCTGTCTCAAATGAATGTACACACACAAAGGCGTAGGCTTGTTAGTCTTCACAGGCTTGAAGAATGGCCTGCGGTTATCAATATGCAAATTTTATCTCTTCTATTCTGGAGTTTTAAGGGAGTTCTGGTAGCGTAGTGGTTACGAATCAGGCTGTGAACCTTAAGGTCAGCGGTTCGAAAGATGAGGCTTTCTACTCCCGTAAGGATTTACACCCTCGGAAACCCTGTACAGGGTCGCTATGGGTCGGAACCGACTCGACGGCACACAACAACAACAAGGGAGTTCTAGTGGCATTGTTGTTGTTGTTAAGTGCTATTGAGTCCATTCCGACCCATAGCAACCCGGTATAGGGTTTCCAAAGGGCAGCTGATGAACTTGAACTGCTGACCTTGTGGTTCAAACTGACTTTGCAGTCTAGCACATTAGCCCAAAACATTACATCCTCTTGTGGCATTGTTGTTAAGTGCCATTGGGTCACTTCCGACCCACAGCGACCTTGTAAACGGATTCCGAGGAGTAGATGGTGAGCTTGACCCACCGATCTTACAGTTCAAATGACTTTGCAGTTCACAATGCCACACTGGGCTGCTAAATGCAAGGTCAGCAGTTCAAACCCAACAGCTGCTCTGCTGGAGAAAAATGAACTTTTCTGCTCCTATAAAGATTGACAGCCTTGGAAACCGTAAATAGGATTACTATATAGGGTTTCCAAGGCTGTAAGTCTTGTAAGTTAGAACCAACTTGACAGCTCACAGCCCTCACCACCACCCACATCCTGAAGTTCTAGATGTCCCTGAGAGTTTACTTGGATTGAAGATGTTTCTGGATCATGAGCAGGAATCATAATACAATAAGATTCAGTCACATCACTCATATTTCTCTCTGGTAGCTAAGTGTAATTTATACATGGAGAGTCTCCCATTGTCTGGAATTGTATTTGCTCATTTTCTAAATTTTCCTTTAGCTGTTTATTTAAAATACAACTTTAATCATCATATAACTTAGCTTTCCACAAATCATCTTAACTAAGTATGCCCCATCTTCCTGTGAATTTATTGCTTTTTCTGTCTTAAACTTAACATTAATTAGTTTCTAACTGTTGTTTTTAAGGGTCTTAGAGTCAGTTCTGACTCACAATGACCTTGTATAGGGTTTCCAAGGAATGGTTGGTAAGTTTGAGCCACCAAGTTTACGGCTAGCAGTCCAGTGTTTAAACTATGGTGCCACACCAGGACTCTGGTTTACTATCATAAGTCAAAGTAAAATGCAATCATTTCCAAAAGTTCTGAAAAGAAAATTAATCAACAACCAAAATGCTGGCTTCTATTTTACTGTAAAAGAAAGAACATTTTCATGAAACTTACTTGAAATCGGTAGAAGGTACCATCATCCTTTAGTGTGAGGACATGATCTGAGATTGGAAAGAAATAGCCATGAGCAGCCATTAATGTTCCCAGATGGAGAGCCTCCACTGTTTGTGAAAACAAGAAAGAACGCAGAAAAGCTTTAATTAATTACTTTTTTAAAAAACTGTTATTGACTTACAGGAGTATAACATTTTTTTCTGATTCTTTTAAACACATACTTGCATTTAAATTCATAGCATCCTAAAAACCGTGTGTTCTGCTTTTTCTTTCAGCTCTTTTATGAAAGATACAAAGAGGTATGTGGTGAGGGAGGGAGTGTGTGGTAACTACACAGCCCACATCACTCCATCGTGACAAGCTATGACAACACAGGCTTACAGACGATGAAATTAGAAAGTGATTTTTATTTTGTTTTATTTTACATTTTATTGTGAATTGAGAGAAGAAGGTTTTCAGACAAAAGCATCAGTTTTACATTCAACAAATCATATACTTTGTTTTATCTCAATGATTGCAATCTCCTCCAGGCAACAACAGTTATCCCATTTCCTCTCTGCTGTTCCTATTGCCTTACCACAGTCCTTCCACACATTTCTCAACTCAAAGGGTAAATGTTGCCCTTTTGATCTTGAATGATTGCCCACCCACTGTTAGCACACCTTACTAGTGTTGTT